GATATCCAGAGTCTGTTATTTCGTTCAGGGCAAGGTCCTGGCCCACCCCCCAAGAGTCCAGACTGAGACAGCATCCCTCTTTGTGGTATGGATACACAAAGTCTATTTGTATGCCAGGGATAAATACTGATCTACTGCCCAAGGCCCCATAGGTTGTCCAGGCGTCTTCACTGACACCCATATTCAGGGGGTCTGGATCAGTCCCATGCTGGCCTCCCAGCTGTCTGTCCGGAGTCCAAGAGCTCCCCTTTGTTCAGGTCAGCTGTTTCTGCAGGTTTCAGCAGCCCATTCTTTACCCCGTTGCTCATCACTCCTGCCTCTCTGTCACTGGGTTCCAATCTTCTCAGGAGATCTTGCCTCATTCCTCTTCTCTGGGGTACCATGCATATCTCTCTTAGGTTCTTTCCTGTTTCCCAGACACTCTGTCAATGGAGTTGTAGGCTGGCACTCCCCTGATCCATGTCTAGAATCCATATATGAGTGAGTACATACCATATTTGTCTTTTTGTAACTGGGTTACTTCACTCAGGATGGTTTCTTCTAGTGCCATCCATTTGCCTGCAAATGTCAAGATTCCATTGGTTTTTTTTCTGCTGAGTAGTACTCCATTGTGTAAATGTACAACATTTTCACTATCCACTCTTCAGTTGAAGGGCATCTAGGTTGCTTCCAGGTTCTGCCTATTACAAATAATGCTGCTATGAACATAGTGGAACAGATGTCCTTGTTGTATGAATGGGCATCTTTTGAGTATATGCCTAAGAGTGGAGTTGCTGGGTCTTGTGGTAGGTTTATTCCCATTTTCCTGAGGAATCTCCATGCTGATTTCCAAAGTGGGTGTACAAGTTGGCACTCCCACCAGCAATGGACCAGTGTTCCCCTTTCTCCACATCCTCTCCAGCACAAACTATCATTGGTGTTTTTGATTTTAGCCATTCTGACAGGAGTAAGATTGTATCTCAGAGTTGTTTTGATTTACATTTCCCTGATGGCTAAGGATGTTGAGTACTTTAAGTCTCAGCCATTTTAGACTCCTCTATTGAGAATTCTATATTTAGTTCTGTACCCCACTTTTTAATTGCATCCTTTGGTGTTTTGGAGACTTGCTTCTTGAGTTCTTTGCAAATTTTGAAGATCAGTTCTCTGTCAGATACGGGGATAATGAATATCTTTTCCCATTCTGTGGGCTGCCTTTTTGTCTTGCTGACTGTGTCCTTTGCCTTACAGAAGCTTCTTAGTTTCAGGAGGTCCCATTTGTTAATTGTTGATGTCAGTGTTTGTGCTACTGGGGTTATGTTCAGGAAGTGCTCTCCTGTACCAATTTATTCAAGAATACCTCCCACTTTCTCTTCTAAGAGGTTCAGTGTGGCTGGATTTATGTTGAGGTCTTTGATCCATTTGGACTTCAGTTTTGTGCAAGGCGACAGACATGGATCTATCTGCAGTTCTGCATGCCAATATTCAGTTATTCCAGCACCATTTGTTGAAGCTGATTTCTTTTTTCCATTGTATAATTTTAGCCTTTTTGTCAAAAATCAAGTGTTAATAGGTGTGTGGGTAAAATCAGGGTTTTCAATTCGATTCCATTTGTCTACCTATCTATTTTTGTGCTAATACCAAGCTATTTTCAGGACTATAGCTCTATAATAGAGCTTGAAGTTAGGGATGGTGATGCCTCCAGAAATTCCTTTATTGTACAGGATTGTTTTGGCTATCCTGGGTCTCTTGTTCTTTCAAAGTCTGTGAAGAATTGTGCTGGTATTTTGATGAGGATTGCATTGAATCTGTGGATTGCTTTTGGCAAGATTGCCATTTTTTATTGTGTTGATCCTACCAATCCAAGAGCATGGGCGATCTTTCATTTTCTGGTATCTTCTTTAATTTAAGAGGTCCCATTTATTAATGTTTATCTTAGTGTCTGAGCTACTGGTTCTATTCAGGAAGTTGTTTCCTGTGCCAATGTCTTCAAAACTACTTCCCACTTTCTCTTCTATCAGGATTGGTGTAACTGGGTTCATATTGAGGTCCTTGATCCACTAGAACTTCAGTTTTCTGCATGAAGATAGATATGGACCTATTTACATCTTTTTACATGTCAACATCCAGATAGACCAGCACAATTTGTTTGAAGTTGTCTTTTTCCCTCATTGTATAATTTTGGTTTCTTAGTTAAAAATTAAGTGTTCATATGTATATGGATTTATTTCTGAGTCTTCAATTAGATTCCATTGTTCAATCTGTCAGTTTTTGTATTAACACCGTGCAGGTTTTTTGTTTTTTGGGTTTTTTGTTGCTGTTGTTGTTTTTTAGCTATAGCTCTGTAGTAGAACTTAGAATTATGGATGATGATACCTCTGAAGATTATTTTATTGTACAGAATTATTTTAGCTATCTTGTTTTTTTTTTGTATTTCCATGTGAAATTGAGTATTGTCATTTCAATATCTGTACAGAATTGTGATGGGAATTGAGTTAAGTCTGTAGATTGCTTTTGGCAAGATTGCCATATTTACTGTGTTATTCCTACTGATTGATGAACATGGGTGATATTTCCATCTTCTGAAATCTTCTCGAGTTTCTTTTTTCAAAGTCTTGAAGTTCTGATCATAAAAGTCTTTCATCTGCTTGGTTAAAGTTACCCCCAAGATATTTTATATTATTTGTGTGTCCTGTAAAGGATGCTGTTTTCCTGATTTTGTCCTCAGCCAAATTCTAGTTTGTATATAGGAAGGCTACTGACTTGTTGAGTTAATTTTGGATGCAATCATTTCACTAAAGGTGTTTATCAGCTGTAGAAGTTCTCTGGTAGAATTTTTGAGATTGCTTATGTATCTATCTCATCATATCATCTACAAATAGCAATACATAGACTTCTTCCTTTCCATTTTGTTTCCCCCTGATCACCTTTTGTTGTCTTATTGCTCTGGCTAGAACTTCAAATATATTGAATAGATATGGAGAGTGTGATCACCCTTGTCTAGTCTCTGATTTGACTGGAATTGCTTTAAGTTGCCCTCAGTTTGTGTTTTCCTTACTGTTTCAACTTCAGTTTTCAAGTCTTGAATAGTTTCCTTCACCTATGTTTAGTTTTTTCATTGCATTCCTTAATGGGTTTATTAATATCCTCAAATTTTTGATTGTCCTTTCTTCCATTTCTTCCAGAAAGTTTTTCTTTTCCTCTTTAAGGTCCTCTGTCATTTTTACAAAGTTGTTTTTAAGGTTGTTTTCTTGTACTTTTGCTGCACAAGAACATGTCAGCATATTCCTGTCTTGCTGTCAGAATAACTCGGCTCTGGTTGTGCCATACTGTCTGGGCTATTGTTTATTGTATTCTTACACTGGCATTTAGGCACCTGGCTTTGGTATGTGTGTGTGTGTGTGTGTGTGTGTGTGTGTGTGTGTGTGTTTCTTTTTCTTCTTTTTTCTGTTTCTTCTTTAGCCTTCTAGTCTTTGTGGTCTGGATTTCTGGTGGCTGGGGTGACCTCTGATCTTATGGAGTCTCTGTCCGTGTTGGGAGGTAGTCTTCTGGCAGCTTGGCAGTTGTTGAAGTAAGGGGATCTCTGTTGTTCTGACTAGTGTGGCTTGCACATGAGCATCTGAAGTCATTGGGAAGGATAATGAGGTGGGGGGGGCTAGGTCTGTGGGATGAATCTTGGGGAACATATTCTAGGGAGTGGGGCAGTTCATTTGGCAGGTGGGTCACTCTATCTCCTCTTCTGACTGATATGGCCTGCACCTATTAGTGGCAGTCAGCAAGGGTGAGGGCAGGAGGACTCAGCATGGTGAGGATGATGAGGTAGGAGGGCAAGAGCTCTGGGATTGGCCTTGGAGAACAGAATTTGAGGAGTGGGGCAGTTTGGCTGGCAGGGCGGGGAAATTTATCTATTCTTCTGACGGGTGTGGCCTGTACCTGAGCAATAGGAGTATTCTGAGTTAGGGGCAGCACTTAGCAGTGGTGGGAGTGGTGAGGGCAAAGAATGTAGGATGGGACTTGGGGAACAGAATTTGGGTAATGGGCAGCTCGGCTGGTAGAAAGATCACTCACTTCTTTTGTTGACTAGTGTGGCCTGCGCATCAACTTAGTATGTTTTTAAAAACAGAGCCCAGCTAAATATCCTTTAAAAAAGAGTGTATTATAAGTTTGCTATTAATACTTTTTAGAATTATTCATGCTGGTAAATGTTTGTGAGATACAGAAAAATGCATCTTTGTATAGTGTCCAAATTACTACAGCAGGTATACAGAACTAGCCTCTCAATGCAAGAAAGGGAGTTTGAAATCCCTGACAGTCATTTTTGTGCTTTTATATTGTCCTTCTGCAGCACAGTTTTTGTTACTAATTAATCTTTCAGTTGTTACAGAAGAGCTGGATCAAAAAGTTAGAGCATTAGTTATACTTGCAAAAGATCTAAATACAGTTTCCAGAGCCTACACTACAGCTCATCTGTGCTGGGGGATGCAACACCCCCTTCTGTCCTCTGCACACACTAGGTGTGCACATGTGACCATGAGACAAAACACCCTCTTCTGTCCCCCACAGGCACTAGACATGCACATGTACACATACATCATGAGACAAAACACTGACACATCAAATAAAGTAAATCTACACAAATGCACATTTTCAGTATATTTCATCAAAACTATGTTCAGGGGAACTTTCAATTGCTTATTATTGCAGAAGTATAGGCACTATTTTATAACTTCATGAGAATAGGAGAAATATTTTTTGAGACAGGATTTTTCTGTGTAGTCCTTTCTGTCCTGGAACTCGCTCTATAGACCAGGATGATCTCAAACTCACACAGATCTGCCTGCCTCTGCCTCCTGAGTGCTGGGATTATGTAACTATCAAATTTTATGTTACTATTATTTTTCCCTTGCTACTTAAAATAGTCCAAAAATCATTTGTTACTTAAAATACTCAAAAGTGTGTTGTTAGGTCGAGTATTTGTTGTTTATACTCTATGATCAACACAGCTTTCTTTTCTCTCTTTTTAGAGCAATGAAGTTGTCTACTACAATGCTAAGGATGATCTTGATGTGAGTACTAAAAATTTACATTAAATATTGCTTAACTGAAACTGGATTTAACACATATAAAGAGAATACTAGATGACAAAAGCAAAACATTAGTTACGTGTAGCAAGGGGATGATAGCTGTTACGTTTTTCTGATATGTACTAGCTGCTTGCTGGCCTTTCTGTATTAGAAATGGCTTCCTCGTTGTCTGTTTCTGAACCAGCATGCTCTGAATGAGTCTCAGTGTGTGCTGCAGTGCTAAGATATGTGTATTACTTTTGCAAGGTTGAGCACATAATATTGTGTAGGGAGAATGAAAAAATATAAAATTAGAGTTGGCCTTGCAAACAATTTACAAACAACATATATGTGTGTGTATGCATGTATCTGATATGTTACAATTCCTAGAATATTACTATTAATATCTTCAAATAGCAGATATAACTGAGTACTAAAATTCGTGTTATCTTATAACCATCTTTCCCAAATTATCATTTTTAGGGTAACATTATGAAAAATACACATTTTCCCATTTCATAGAAGAAAGACTGGGTGTTTTGTTTACTTTTGTATTTATTTTTTAATTTTATGTGTAAGTGTGTTTACACATATGTGTGTGTTCTATGTTGTGCCTGGTTCCCACAAAAGTCTGAATATGGAATCAGATCCCATGTAACTAGTTACAAATGGTTGTCAGCTGTCATGTGGGTGCTTGCATCAAAACCCAGGTCTTCTACAAGAGTAAGAGGTACTCCCAGAGGCTGAGCATTGTCAACATACACACACTAACCTTGTTTATAAAGGCCTAATCTTTCCTCTAGACATAGATAGTTTACTTTTGATGCTGTTCCTATTCTGAAGAGTGTATATGTGATCTCAATCACGTCTGTCAATGAACACCAAATGGTTTTCTCCTTTTACAGTGTATTCAGAGGTATCAGAATAAGAGTAGAATTAAAATTAGTATTTATTATTTGAAAATAACTTGGCTATGGCTTTGAGGGAGTGCCAGGTAGGTTTGTGGGAGACTTTGAACAGGAAAGTGAAGAAGAAGATGCTATAATTATAATAGCAGAAAAAATAAAAATATGCAAGTTCATCAATTTCCTGAAATTGTTTGTTGTATCTTTTACTAAATGTTTAATTCATCAAACTGACACTGATAATTCCTACCTTTTAGAGTGTGTTACTTTGTGATAATGACACTAAATATAGAAAAAAATACACAAGCAATCCCATTTTATGCCAAGAAGTGCAGTTTTGCTTAGTTATATTTACTTGTTAGTCACAAATTTTCTTTTCTTTTACATGGGAACGAAGCTAACTTTTAGTAAATAATGACCCTATTTTCAATCACAGTGCTTCAAGGTTAGAATATTGATTTGTCATGAGTAGAGAAGTATGTCTGAGCTCTGTATTTGGAATACAAAAAGCACACCCAGTGTTTTCTTCATAATCTACATTTAGAGGTAATCTTTCAAACATTGAAAAAAACACATTGGTGCTACTTATTTCTACTGTTTCAGTAAAAGTATCCCTGTAACAGAGAAGAAATCCATAGAAGTGAAGCCATTGAATATGATCTGTATTGTGTGCTGCTTTATCCCAAACAAAATAAGTGATTATAATGTTATATGTAATAATTATTCTTATAAAATGTAGTGCAATTTTAAAACAGACATCAGCAAATTTAATCAAAAGTTTATGGACATCAAAAATCATTTAAATTTAAAAGTTAAAACGCTATTATTATATTTGGAGAGATAGTATGTATTTCTTTTTTATTTACAGTTATTTACATATCAATACCCCCTGCCCACTACCAGCACCCCAGCCCCCACCTGCTCTCCAAGGAAGGTGAGACCTTCCATTGGGGATCATCAAAGTCTGTCACATCATTTGAGGGAGGTCCTGGGCAATATACAGCACACCAACAGCCAACATCAAACTAAATATAGAGAAACTCAACGTGATTCCTCTAAAATCAGGAAAAAACAAGGCTGTCCACTCTCCCTATATCTCTTCAGTATTGTACTTGAAGTTCTAGCTAGAGCAATAAGACAACAAAAGGAGATCAAGGGGATAGAAATTCAAAGGAAGAGGTCAGACTTTCACTATTTGCAGATGATATGATAGTTTATATAAATGACCCAAAAAACTCTACCATGGAACTCCTACAGCTGATAAACACCTTCAGCAAATTGTCAGGATACAAGATTAACTAAAAAAATCTATTTCTTTATGAACACATTGATAGGGAACTTGGCAGAGCATGTTATATAATATAAAGAAAATAATAGGATTAAGAAACCAAGTTATAGTCAGACGTGCCCTTAAATTCTAGTTAGCCAGAAGTTATTAAATCCTATCAAAGCTCTAGATGTTTGGCTCGGGAGCTGACTCAGTGATTAAAGTGCTTGCCACGCAAGCATGAGAACCTGAGCTCTGACACCCAGCACTTACTCAAGGAGTTGGTGTTGCTACAGGTGTCATGTATTGTTGCTCAACTGGTGTAGCTGGTCCGTGAGATGAATGAGAGATCCATTCTCACGAAAGAACCTGGAGTCTGACTGAGAAAGCCACTTGACATTGACTTCTGCCCTCCACAATGACGCATAGCGCACATATGTATAACCCCATGCAAGTTCTTTTTCATGTAATGTAAAGTAATGTTATGTAATGTGTTTGACTCTGTTTTCAGTTCACTCCAATTCTAACATGGATCCTGATGAGAGTTTGTATCTCTATAGAGAATATACCTGGCATATGTAATGACTCTGGACGTATTACATGATTTAATACTTAAAAGAAAGAAGAAAAGACATCTAAAAATGTCTTATCCTGTCATAAAATTTTATTAACTTTTGTCTTACTTTTAGCATTTTTAAACTAATGTGATTTTTAACTACTTTTTGTTATTTTTGTCTGTTTCAGTTTTATGAGACAGTATCTTGCTTTGTACAGGTGACTGGTATTGAGGTCATGTGTAGCCATGATGAACTTCACAAGCATTTGCATAACTGACTTATAAGTAGTAAATATTTTTACTGTACTGTTGCATAGATATCAGATAGTATTAGGAGTTGAAATGATACCAAGAAATGAACTCTTCTGCTGAGGAAGTAAAATTTCCTTTCTTGAACATTCAAATACAGAGCAATGTAATACATATATTTGTGTAATAATATTTTAATAAAATTTTGATTTTGTTTATAGGATAGATTCCAAGAAGTGGTTCTGTTAGAGGTTTTGGGTCTTTTAATGATACATATTATTATGTATAGTGACATATATTATGACATATATGTGTATACACACACACACACATATATATATATAATTTACAGAAAAATTTGACTGAATTCCACTGCTCTTCTCAATTTAAATCTAATTATTTCCTGAAGCATTGTATTAAAATAACATTTTTTTCTCTTGGATTGGAATACCGCAAGTGAAATACTGAAGTTGGTTTTTAAGTGCTTTTCTCAGTGTATTAGTTAGTATTGTCATTGCATCTGCTCATCTCGTACCATTTAAACGTAGTTAAATATTTACCCTTTCATGAAATGGATATGTGATTATCTATTCTCTTCAGGTGATAGTAGCACACGCCTTTAATCCCAGCACTCAGGAGGCAGAGGCAGGTGGATCTCTGTGAGTTTGAGGCCAGCCTGGTCCACAGAGTGAGCTCCAGGACAGTCAGGACTATAGAGAGAAACCCTGTCTCTAAAAACCAGAAATAATAATAATAATAATAAATTTTCTAATCCCCGACATGTGTTTTGATCACTATTACTAAATTGGTTCCTACAATTGCAACATTATTCAGAAAAGTTAGTAAAGAATGGTAATTACTATATTTAAATATTTAATTAATATTAAATAACATTTAAAGAATTAAGGTAATAATGTATTTAAATATTTTATTATTTAAAATATCTTTTAAGATTTTAAGGAATTGCATTGTTTTATTTTGCTCCACAGGCTATTATTTTTCTAATGAAGTTGGACTTATATAGATGATATATTTTATTCACCTTCACAAAGTGTTTTCGATCATAGATGATTTAATGGACTGTTTCATTTGTGACTATATATATAATATATGCATACATATATTATATTTATACATAAAATGCTCACAAATCATAGTGACCGCATGCTGTCTTATTTTGTATTTGGCTCACCATTTCGGTTCTACGTCTGAAATGTCAGACTGCCATCTTATATGTCAATGTCTCACAAAGGTGAAAGTAACTGGTGTGCCAAATTAAGAAAACTTCTATCATATTAAAATTGTTCTCTGTATTTCAGTAGTGACTTAATTCGCTGAATGCTAGTGCTTGGTTATAAGACTGAATGATTAAAGTCTGAATCACTAGTTGCTATTTTTAATGTTCTCTGTAGTTCTGTATTTAGATTTTTTTTAGCTCCAGTGAGTAGTAACATAGGGGTCATATTCTCTGTGTCCCACACACTGTCATTCATTTCCTTTCTTATTTTATAAATTAATCTTTGGTTAGACAGTGGCCTCAACTGATACTTCCCGATTTTTCCCTTTAACTGGCCTCCGTGTTACTAGTTTTAAAATTATGAAAGACCTGTCTCATTTTAGGAATAGGAAAGGCTCAGAGAGTAGTTTGTAAATTTTAAATAGGCTTTTAATGATGTAACACATTATGAATACACAAATATTCTTAAACATAGTGTTCATAAATACTTTCCATTTTTAAGGTCATTTTATATTTATGATGTCTAGTTTGATATGTGAGACCATGTTTAAGTCTTTCTAGAATCTTATAAGCAGACAACTTTTGATGTTGAAATGGCCTTCTTCTTGGAGGTACCACAAAGCTTTCCAAATGATTTCTTTGGTTTCATCTCAGAGTATTATTTCCCAGAGGGCAGATTTGTGTGGTCCAAACTGCTGGTGTAGCTCTGATAATGTATAGCATAATATAGTCATCTATGAAAGGTTCTTCTTTCTCCAGTAAGTCACTAAATATAAACTGAAATCTCAT